CAAGTGCAACAAGGAAAAGTTACATCTTGCAACCACACGCTGTGTACTTAATAAAATTGTTAACTTTTATTTAAAGATTGCCTCAGCTCCGTCTATTCTGAGTCCAAAGTGCAATTTCTCACAATATTACAACTTACCTCACGTGGTGGCAGAAACGTAGGGAAAAGTAACCAAATAAATCTACATTCTTCTCTCCAGTCACGCTACAGTATATACAGTGTAATTATTACTAAGTTATTACTTTCTTAATAAAGGAGGAGGTGCAATTGAACAGCCTCCCTTCTAACTTGATGGTAAATTTGGTTCCTAATCGGCAACCTCCATTGCAAGTCGGCTAAGTCTTTTTAAAATTGGGAACTGGGGAAAAATCTCCTGAATACTGGTTCCTTTCAAATTGGTGGCAACAATAAATCATCCCCCAGCTCCCCTGCTTCTTTTCAAATTGGTGGCAGACGACGGGATACGATTAACAACTGATTGAGTGCCTTAAGACTACTTTGAGAATAATTTGTGAGGTAAAAGTTATTGAAATATGGCTACCAGATGACAGAAAAAACTTGTTGAGGAAACAATGGGAGACCAAGAAGGAAGTTTGGGCTCTGAAGCAGAAACAGAGCCAGTGTCTGTGTCAGAAATGGCACAGACTAGAGATGAAACGATTGGAAATAGAGGCAAAACAAAGGGAAAGAGAGTTTGAGGAAAGACAAAAAGAGAGAGAACAGGAGATAGAATTGAGGAGAATGGAAATTGAACTGCAAAAGCAAAAAATTAGCCCACCACCCCCCCTCACTTCCTCTGAGGATGCTTGCCATAGATGCAGGCGAAACGTCAGGAGAAATGCCTCTAGAACATGGCCCTATAGCTCGAAAAAACCTACAAGAACCTAGTATTTCCTAAATTTACTAAGGATGACGATATAGAGAAGTTTCTAACCTTGTTTGAGCGATGTTGTAAAGATTTTGGAGTTGCTGAGGAAAAATGGATGACGTACTTAAGGCCTCAAATAAGTGGAAAGCTCTTAGAAATATATGGAGAAATGCCTGAGGAGTCCTATGGGGATTATGATTTATTTAAGAGACAGGTTCAACAGAAATTTCAATTAACACCTGAATTTTACAGATTCAAGTTCAGGACTCTGAAAAGAGATAAGAACCAAAGTTTCGCTCAGGTGGCCTCTAGATTGTCTCAACTGTTCGATAGTTGGCTAAGGACGTCTGAGGTGGAAAATTACCAACAACTGAGAGAACTTTTAAAATTGGAACAATTTTTCCAATTGATACCTTCCGATTTTCGGTGGCTGGTACAGGATCGAAAGCCATCCACTGTAGTAGAGGCAGCGGTTATGGTAGATCAATTAATTACCCTAAAAGAAGGATTCAAAAGGGAAGATCTGCCAAATGATAAAAGGACAAACAGGCAGCCATTTTACCAACATCAAACGCGCCCACAACAAGGAAAAGGTCCTGCAATAGAAAACCCCTCCTGGAGGAGGCAGAGTGTAACAAGTCAAACTGCTCCTGAGGGAAAAATTAGGTGTTTTCAGTGTGGAAAGTGGGATCATATAAGGTATCAATGTCCCCTTTTAAGAAAAGAAAAGACAACCCTCTTCGTTAATAAAGTAAAAGAAACAAAGAAAACAGAACCAAATACTGTGTCAAAGGAGAGTTCGGAAACGGTGCCTCAAGAGAAACAATGTTTGTTCATTTTGTCAAACACCGCAACTGAGGATTACTTAGAATCCATTTCCATTGACAACAAAGACATGAGAGGGTGGCGGGACACAGGATCTGATGTGTGTATTATACATCCAGATATAATACCTCAGAAATTTCAGCATCCTACCTCTGAAATAAGATTAAAAGGCTTGGGACCTGCAATACCAACAGCAGTAGTGTCTTTGCCAATAGAATATGGAGGTTGGAAGGGTATGTGGGATTTTGCAGTCAGTCCAGACATACCATACAGGTGTTTAATTGGAAATGATCTGGCTAAAAAGATTGGAAAGTGGAGAATGATGTGTGAGGAGGAAGAATATAACAGCAAAAGCCCTGATCAAAAAGCCATGTGTTTCGCCATACAACAGGAGGGGGATGAGAATCCAGAATCCAGCACTATGGTTGCTGAGCTTATTAAGAAGACAGGAGGAGTCAGAGAAATTCAACAGGAACAAAGAGCAGATGAATTTCTAAAACCTTTGTTCGCTTTGGCTCAAAACCTCACAGTATCAGCAAAAGGGCAGCCCTCCAAGTTTGTGTTAAAGAATGGTGTCTTGTATAGAGAAACCAGAAACATGAAGTCAACAGAAGGATCAATGACATGTAATCAGATTGTAGTGCCTCAAAGTTTTAGAGAACAGCTGATGAGGGCGACACACGAGAACCCTCACGGTGGTCATCTGGGCGTGAGGAAAACCACAAAGAGGATCACTAAAAACTTTTATTGGCCTGGCATGTTCCAGAAGATCAAAGAGTTTTGCCAGTCTTGTGATATCTGCCAAAGATTGAGTACTGGAAGGGATAAAATTAAAGCTCCTATGATCCCTATGCCGGTAATTGCAGAACCATTTTACAGAGTGGGCATTGACATAGTTGGTCCTCTTTGTAAGCCAAGCAGACGTGGTTACAGATACATTCTAACCATGATTGACTACGCCACAAGATATCCAGAGGCTGTAGCTCTAACTAACATTGAGACAACAACGATTGCAAATGCACTGTTATCCATTTGGGGAAGAACTGGTTATCCTAGAGAATTGGTTTCTGATTTGGGAACTCAATTTACTTCCAGACTTATGTCAAAATTGCTTGAGTTATGTGGAATCAGACACCTGACTTCAACAGCTTATCACCCACAG